TGGTGCACAATTTTGAACATATGATTCGTTTGTCTCTGGGATTTTTTATTTAATATTTTCAGGCCATGGTAGACCATGGATAATTGAAACCACGGATATGGGGGTTCTACTGTACATTATGTATACTACAGTGTTGTATTTTTATATTTTTGAAAAATACTTTTTGTGGACTACAATACTGTATTCTTCATTGTATGCCTCCTGTATCATAGTACACTTGTGTGTTTGTCAGGAATGTGTACACGATCATGACATGTACTGCCACTACACCTTGGTGTACACGTGTACACTTAGTAATATTGTGTTTACACGTAGACACATTATCATACACATTACAGTCTCTAGTGAAGTGTTTCTCTGCTTGTACACTGCCTAACAACAGAGCACACTTGTACACTGTTGTGCACCCCAGAGCACACTTGTACACTGTTGTGCACCCCAGAGCACACTTGTACACTGTTGTGCACCCCAGAGCACACTTGTACACTGTTGTGCAGTCCAGGGCACACTTGTACACTGTTGTGGACCCCAGAGCACACTTGTACACTGTTGTGCAGTCCAGGGCACACTTGTACATTGTTGTGGACCCCAGAGCACACTTGTACACTGTTGTGCAGTCCAGGGCACACTTGTACATTGTTGTGGACCCCAGAGCACACTTGTACACTGTTGTGCAGTCCAGGGCACACTTGTACATTGTTGTGCACCCCAAAAACAAATTGTACACTGTTGTAAACCTCAGACCCACACTTGTACATGTTGTGGATCCCAGAGAAACACTTGAAACAAGTTGTGAAAGTCCGGGGCACACTTGTACATTGTTGTGGACCCCAGAGCACACTTGTACACTGTTGTGCAGTCCAGGGCACACTTGTACATTGTTGTGCACCCCAGAACACACTTGTACACTGTTGTAAACCTCAGAGCACATTTGTGCACTGTTATAAACCGCAGAGCACACTTGTAAACCTCAGAGCACACTTGTACATCTCAGCACACTTGTACATCTCAGCACACTTGTACACCCCAGAACACACTTATACACTGTTATACACCCCAGAGCATACTGTACACCTCAGAGCACACTTGTGCACTGTACACCTTAGCACATTTGTATACTGCTGTACACCTCAGAGCACACTTGTACACTGTTGTAGGCCCCAGAGCATACTTGTACACTGTTGTACACCCCAGAGTACACTTGCACACTGTTGTATACCCCAGAGCACACTTGTACACTGTTGTACACCCCAGAGTACACTTGCACACTGTTGTATACCCCAGAGCACACTTGTACACTGTTGTAGGCCCCAGAGCATACTTGTACACTGTTGTACACCCCAGAGCACACTTGTATATTGTTGTACACCCCAGAGCACACATGTACATTGTTGTACCCAGAGCATATTTGTACACCCCAGAGCACACATATACACTGTTGTACACCCCAGAGCACACTTACATACTATTGTACACCCCAGAGCACACATGTACACTGTTATACACCCCAGAGCACATTTGTACACTGTTGTACAGAGCACTGTTGTGAACCCCAGAGCACACATGTACACTATTGTACACCCAAGAGCACATTTGTACAGTGTTGTACAACCCATAGCACACATGTACACTGTATACCTCAGAACACACCTGGACATTGTTGTACACTCCAGAACACACCTGGACACTTGTACACCTGAGAGCACACTTGTACATTGTTGTACACCCCAGAGCACACTTGTACACTGTTGTACACCCCAGAGCACACTTGTACACTGTTGTCCCCCAGAGCCACTTGTACACTGTTGTACACCCCAGAGCACACTTGTACACTGTTGTACACCCCAGAGCACACTTGTACACTGTTGTACACCCCAGAGCACACTTGTACACTGTTGTACACCCCAGAGCACACTTGTACACTGTTGTACACCCCAGAGCACACTTGTACACTGTTGTACACCCCAGAGCACACTTGTACACTGTTGTACACCCCAGAGCACACTTGTACACTGTTGTACACCCCAGAGCACACTTGTACACTTGTACACCCAGAGCCGCTTGTACATGTTGTAAACCCAGAGCACACTTGTACACTGTTGTACACCTAGAGCACATTGTACACTGTTGTACACCCAGAGCACACTTGTACACTGTTGTACACCCCAGAGCACACTTGTACACTGTTGTACACCTGAGGGCACAGTTGTACACTGTTGTACACCCCAGAGCACACTTGTACACTGTTGTACACCCCAGAGCACACTTGTACACCGTTGTACACCCCAGAGCACACTTGTACACTGTTGTACACCTGAGGGCACAGTTGTACACCCCAGAGCACACTTGTACACTGTTGTACACCCCAGAGCACACTTGTACATTGTTGTACACCCCAGAGCACACTTGTACACTGTTGTACACCCAAGGGCACAGTTGTACACTGTTGTACACCCCAGAGCACACTTGTACATTGTTGTACACCCCAGAGCACACTTGTACACTGTTGTATGCCACAGAGCACACTTGTACACTGTTGTACACCCCAGAGCACAGTTGTACACTGTTGTACACCCCAGAGCACAGTTGTACACTGTTATACACCCCAGAGCACAGTTGTACACCCTAGAGCACAGTTGTACACTGTTGTACACTCCAGAGCACACTTGAACACTGTTGTACACCCCAGAGCACAGTTGTACACTGTTATACACCCCAGAGCACAGTTGTGCACTGTTGTACACCCCAGAGCACACTTAAACACTGTTGTACATCCCAGAGCACAGTTGTACACTGTTGTACACCCCAGAGCACACTTGAACACTGTTGTACACCCCAGAGCACACTTGAACACTGTTGTACACCCCAGAGCACAGTTGTACACTGTTGTACACCCCAGAGCACAGTTGTACACTGTTGTACACCCCAGAGCACAGTTGTACACTGTTGTAACCCTAGGCACACTTAAAACATGTTGTGCACCCCAGAGCACAGTTGTACACTGTTATACACCCCAGAGCACAGTTGTACACTGTTGTACACCCCAGAGAACACTGTTGTGCACCCCCAGAGAACACTGTTGTGCACCCCAGAGAACACTGTTGTACACCCCAGAGAACACTTGAACACTGTTGTACACCCCAGAGAACACTGTTGTACACCCCAGAGAACACTGTTGTGCACCCCAGAGAACACTGTTGTGCACCCCAGAGAACACTGTTGTACACCCCAGAGAACACTTGAACACTGTTGTACACCCCAGAGAACACTGTTGTGCACCCCAGAGAACACTGTTGTGCACCCCAGAGAACACTGTTGTACACCCCAGAGAACACTGTTGTGCACCCCAGAGAACACTGTTGTGCACCCCAGAGAACACTGTTGTACCCCAGAGAACACTGTTGTGCACCCCAGAAAAACACTGTTGTGCACCCAGAGAACACTGTTGTGCACCCAGAGAACACTTGTGCACCCCAGAGAACACTGTTGTGCACCCCAGAGAACACTGTTGTGCACCCCAGAGAACACTGTTGTGCACCCCAGAGAACACTGTTGTACACCCCAGAGAACACTGTTGTGCACCCCAGAGAACACTGTTGTGCACCCCAGAGAACACTGTTGTGCCACCCAGAGAACACGTTGTCACCCCAGAGAAACTGTTGTGCACCCCAGAGAACACTGTTTTTACACCCAGAGAACACTTGTGCCCCCAAGAACACGTTGTGCACCCCAGAGAACACTGTTGTGCACCCCAGAGAACACTGTTGTGCACCCCAGAGAACACTGTTGTACACCCCAGAGCACAGTTGTACACTGTTGTACACCCTAGAGCACACTTGAACACTGTTGTGCACCCCAGAGAACACTGTTGTGCACCCCATAGAACACTGCTACATGTTCTTAGTGTTCTCTTACACTGGTTTATAAATGGTTTATTCTCCAGTAATTTACTTTCCTTCAGTATTATTGTTATCAAACTTTTATGTAGTGAAATGTACCAAATTTTCCACATTACAAATTGCAAAGGTAAAGTAATTCTTTGTAAACTTAAAAATTCTTTGTAACCTTAACAAATTCTTTGTAACCTTAACAGATTCTTTGTAACCTTAACAAATTCTTTGTAACCTTAATGAATTCTTTGTAACCTTAACAAATTCTTTGTAACCTTAATGAATTCTTTGTAACTTTAACGAATTCTTTGAAACCCTTTAAATTCTTTGTAACCTTTAACAAATTTTTGCAACCTTAACGAATTCTTTGTAACCTTAACAAATTCTTTGCAACCTTAACGAATTCTTTGTAACCTTAACGAATTCTTTGCAACCTTAACGAATTCTTTGTAACCTTAACGAATTCTTTGTAACCTTAACGAATTCTTTGTAACCTTAACGAATTCTTTGTAACCTTAACGAATTCTTTGTAACCTTAACGAATTCTTTGTAACCTTAACGAATTCTTTGCAACCTTAACGAATTCTTTGTAACCTTAACGAATTCTTTGTAACCTTAACGAATTCTTTGTAACCTTAACGAATTCTTTGTAACCTTAACGAATTCTTTGTAACCCTACAAAACTCTTTGTAACTTCTTAAAAGTAATTGCAACATTATTAAAGAATTCTTTGTAACCTTCTTAAAATATTGTTTGTAACCTTCTTAAAATATTGTTTGTAACCTTCTTAAAGAATTCTTTGTAACCTTAAAATATTGTTTGTAACCTTCTTAAAGAATTCTTTGTAACCTTAAAATATTGTTTGTAACCTTCTTAAAGAATTCTTTGTAACCTTCTTAAAGAATTCTTTGTAACCTTAAAATATTGTTTGTAACCTTAAAGAGTTCTTTGTAACTCTCTTAAAGAATTTCAATACACTTAACATAAGATTCTTCAGTAATTTTAGTAGCTTCCATAAATTTTTTGTACTTAAATTTAGATTTAGAAGCTTTCAAAAGTTTGAGTATTGAAAATTAGAATGAATATTGAAATGTTTTGTTGTTACAACAGGTGGTGCTTATGATGTGGGTGAGGACTGGCGGTGTGTTCCCAGTGTTTATACAGCACCAACCATGCAGTACATGCCTAACATGCTAGATGACCCAGAGCTACGTGCTGGCAAACACCGCAAGTTATTACGCTTCCCCTCGTACATGGTAAGTTACTATGTTTCCCCTCTTATGTGGTAAATTATTATGCTTCCCCTCTTATGTGGTAAGTTACTATGCTTCCCCTCTTATGTGGTAAGTTACTATGCTTCCCCTCTTATGTGGTAAGTTACTATGTTTCCCCTCTTATGTGGTAAGTTATTATGCTTCCCCTCATATATGGTAAGTTACTATGTTTCCCCTCTTATGTGGTAAGTTATTATGCTTCCCCTCTTATATGGTAAGTTACTATGTTTCCCCTCTTATGTGGTAAGTTATTATGCTTCCTCTCTTATATGGTAAGTTACTATGCTTCCCCTCTTATATGGTAAGTTAATATGTTTCCCCTCTTATGTGGTTACTATGTTTCCTCTCATACTGTATATGACAAGTTACTATGCTTCCTCCTTTTATATGGTAAGTTACTTTGCTTCCCCTCTTATATGGTAAGTTATGCTTCCCTCACATATGGTAAGTTACTATGCTTCCCCTCTTATATGGTAAGTTATGCTTCCCTCACATATGGTAAGTTATTATGCTTCCTCCTCTTATATGGTAAGTTACTTTGCTTCCCCTCTTATTATATGATGTTTGGAAAAAAGTTTCAAGTATGCAAGTACACATGATGATCACTGCAAGTACACATGATGATCACTGCAAGTACACATGATGATCACTGCAAGTACACATGATGATCACTGCAAGTACACATGATGATCACTGCAAGTACACATGATGATCACTGCAAGACACACACAGACGGTAAATTCTTTGGTTTACACCTTGACTGCAACTTTATATTTAATACTTACGTCCAACACATGACAGAAAAGTCTCCAAAATAGTAAGCAACCTCTCAGTGATACATTACTGTGTACCTCAGACACCACTACTTACCTTGTACTGCTCTCTGATCTGTCCTTACCTATGGTACATGTGCTTGGGGATCTACTACATATATAACTACAGTGGACCCCCGCATAACGATTTTAATCCGTGCAAGAGGGGTAATTGTTATGCGAAATAATCGGTATGTGAATTAATTTTCCCCATAAGAAATAATGGAAATAAAATTAATCCGTGCAAGACACCCAAAAGTATGAACAAAAAAATTTTTTACCACATGAAATATACATTTTCCCACACACAAAGAGAAGGATACATGCACAATAGTAGAGTAGTACATGCACAGTATATATTGTGCATGTACTAGTCTACTAAATGAAGAATAAATGACACTTACCTTTATTGAAGATGCAGCAATGACTGATGAGACACTGTGTCCTGGGACTGCCTTTTCCTCCTGAGTACTGTAGGTCCTGTTTGGCATTTTCTTCCAGAACAGGCCTTATCACACTGTGTATGCCACTACGATTCTTAAATCTCTCAAACCAACCTTTGCTGACTTTAAATTCACCAATATGAGCACTAGTTCCAGGCATTTTTCCCTGTTCACCTGGGTGTTAGTGACTTGTGTGGGTTGCATCCTGGGAGACAAGATTAAGGACCCCAATGGAAATAAGTTAGACAGTCTTCGATGACACTGACTTTTTTGGGTTATCCTGGGTGGCAAATCCTCTGGGGTTAATTGTTTCTTGGTATTCTCAATAAGCCACACAACAACGGTTTTGCTACAGCAGCAGCAGCAGCTGACGGTGGTACAGCAGCAGCAGACGATGCTACAGCAGCAACAGACGATGTTACAGCAGCAGCAGACGATGCTGCAGCAGCAGCTGACGGTGGTACAGCAGCAACAGACGATGCTACAGCAGCAACAGACGATGTTACAGCAGCAGCAGACGATGCTCCCAGCAGCAAGCAGCTGACGGTGGTACAGCAGCAACAGACGACGCTACAGCAGCAACAGACGATGTTACAGCAGCAGCAGACGATGCTACAGCAGCAGCAGCAGCTGACAGTGGTACAGCAGCAACAGACGATGCTACAGCAGCAACAGACGATGTTACAGCAGCAGCAGACGATGCTACAGCAGCAGCAGCAGCTGACGGTGGTACAGCAGCAACAGACGACGCTACAGCAGCAACAGACGATGTTACAGCAGCAGCAGACGATGCTACAGCAGCAGCAGCAGCTGACGGTGGTACAGCAGCAACAGACGATGCTACAGCAGCAACAGACGATGTTACAGCAGCAGCAGACGATGCTACAGCAGCAGCAGCAGCTGACGGTGGTACAGCAGCAACAGACGACGCTACAGCAGCAACAGACGATGTTACAGCAGCAGCAGACGATGCTACAGCAGCAGCAGCAGCTGACAGTGCAGCAGCAGCAGCAGCTGACAGTGCAGCAGCAGCTGTACCACCAATAGTAGCGATGGTTGATTGGGGTTTATTATACAACCTGGCCAGCTCGGAGACACGCACTCCACTTTCATACTTATCAATGATCTTTTTCTTCATCTCTATTGTAATTCTCACCTTATTGCTGTAGGGTTGGCACTAGAAGCTTTCTTGGGGCCCATGGTCACTTATTTTCCAGAAAAAGCACCGAAAACACTGTAATAATACGAAATATTCCGATTGTATGCTTGGATGTTACCGCGGAGGCTGGCTGGTAAACAATGCCACCGGCGGAACATGTGAGCGTGGCTCAGGCCGCACATTGGACGCGTCTCGGACGAAAATCGGTGAGCGGGTTTTTAAGTGGTATGTGAGGCAAAATTTTGGCGATTAAAGCAAGCGGTATGCGGATTAATCGCTATGTGATGCCATCGGTATGCGGGGGTCCACTGTACTTTATATAACTTTCCTTGTTATATAGGGTATTTCTGGTACCCTTAAAACTAAATTATTATAATTATTTGAGAATAAGAATACATAGCTTTAATTATATTAGAGGTACAGGTTGGCCATCACTAATCTGGCATCATCAGGACCTGTAGGATGCCGGATTAGTGATTTTGCCAGATCACAGGTTAGGTTAGAATACACTTAACCCAATGGCGATATTTACACATCGGCAATTTCACCCACTTTATGCCCTATTTTTGGCCGATTCCATTGTTCCAGTCTACCAGACTCATAGCTATTTCACTAGTATTCCTTCTATTCTGTTGATTAAGTACAAGAAACCACCCATTCACGTATTTCAACTGCCCAATAAAGTGGTCAGAAATTGGTAATTTGGACAATTTCACACATATTTCAAAAGATGCCAATGTCAAAATAGGGTCCAGAATAAACGATGCAGACATTTTTAGCACTAAAATAACATTTTCTCTGTTCATTAATCACGTCTCCAGGCCCCTCTTATACGTATTATGCTTGCTTTCCATTTTTTAATTTTTGTTCACACAAAAAATAGAAGATTTACTGTTATGCAGACTACTGCATTATTGTAATAATTGTATAAATAATGTCAACCCACTTGTGACTATATATTAGACCGGCCAGTTGGACGCGTATTGGATGGTGACATCATTTGTTTACTCTTAAACATCAGCAGAAATTGAACATTTCCACTACTTTGAGCTCAATTTTAAGGTACTTTCCAGTGTGAAACCAATCAAAATTACTTCTGTTTGTGTAATATATCTTCCAGTCTATCAAATGAGACCAAAAACAACAAGAATATAACCATACAAAAATACACCGCAAAGTCAGGTTTACACCGTAAACATAGTCGCAGCTTTTTTCTCACTATGCACTTCGTGCTGCAGGATTTTTTTTTTATGTAGCGCACACTTACCACACAGACCAATTCTCTCATATGTAGGCCCAAATTTACCGGTCACAGCTTATCTGAGTGAGCTGAGCTCATGGTGTCCAACAGTTGCTTCAAAGCCACCTTATCTCTTATGGACAGTGTATGTGTTTTACACAATGAGAAGCATTTCTTTTATTTGTTGGAACCATGGCTAGGGCTAAAAGTGAGCAGGTTATAACAATAAATGGAGAAAAGAAATTGGAATGGCTTATGCAACAAATAACACCACCAAACAGTAGCGGCAGGTTAGTGTGGCGACCTTAGAAATTTGAAGTTATGCTAGCCGAAGTTAGATACTGATGGAAGCAGATTACTGATTGTTGGATTACTGATGGTCAACCTGCATTTAGTAATTCAATAAAAAATTGTAATTATTGATATATTAAAGATGAAGCCTAGTACATGAGTTGAAGGAATGTTTGACAAGAACAGTGACCTCATGATAAACAGTGACCTAGGTTCATGATAAACAGTGACCTAGGTTCATGATAAACAGTGACCTAGGTTCATGATAAACAGTGACCTAGGTTCATGATGAACAGGAACAGTGACCTCATGATAAACAGGAACAGTGACCTCATGATAAACAGGAACAGTGACCTAGGTTCATGATAAACAGTGACCTAGGTTCATGATAAACAGTGACCTAGGTTCATGATAAACAGTGACCTAGGTTCATGATAAACAGTGACCTAGGTTCATGATGAACAGGAACAGTGACCTCATGATAAACAGGAACAGTGACCTCATGATAAACAGGAACAGTGACCTAGGTTCATGATAAACAGTGACCTAGGTTCATGATAAACAGTGACCTAGGTTCATGATAAACAGTGACCTAGGTTCATGATAAACAGTGACCTAGGTTCATGATGAACAGGAACAGTGACCTCATGATAAACAGGAACAGTGACCTCATGATAAACAGGAACAGTGACCTCATGATAAACAGGAACAGTGACCTCATGATAAACAGGAACAGTGACCTCATGATAAACAGGAACAGTGACCTCATGATAAACAAGAACAGTGACCTCATGATGAACAGGAACAGTGACCTCATGATAAACAGGAACAGTGACCTCATGATAAACAGGAACAGTGACCTCATGATAAACAGGAACAGTGACCTCATGATAAACAGGAACAGTGACCTCATGATAAACAGGAACAGTGACCTCATGATAAACAGGAACAGTGACCTCATGATAAACAGGAACAGTGACTCATGATAAACAGGAACCAGTGGACCTCATGATAAACAGGAACAGTGACCTCATGAT